GACATTTTTTTTTTGACTCTATAAAAAATCAAAAAATAAATGAAAAATTCGAACAAAGAATTTCGAAAATTTCGACCCAAAAAGAAGAGAAATTCGGCCCCTCAACAAAAGGTAATAACCGAAAAAAAATCAAACAAAGGACTAGATGACACTTTTTTTTTTAAGACAAAAATTCGAAAATTTTGGGTAAAAATTGATGAAATTCGAACCCCCAAATCGACCAAAAAAGAAAAAGAAAGGGATAGAAAAAGTTCACGAACACCCAATCGATCACTCTCAATGAAAGCACCAATGATGACGGATCGGGTGTTGCGTTCCCTCGACTTGTCTCGACCACGGCTTCGCCACGGCCTTGCTCTCGACGATAGGTGTGATCGACTCGGTTATTAGCCTAACTCTCTCACGATACTTGAGTTCACTCGGGTATTAGCCTTGCTACACTCTCAAAATAGATCGGGTCTTAGCCTCTCTAAATCGTTGAACTGGCTCGGGTCTTAGCCTCACCAATTCGGTTGCATGATCGAATTCTCACGAACCCTAACACACGGTTTCGAACAAACGTTCTTTTCTATTTCATCAATTCCAAGAAATCAAAAACAATGAGGGATGATCCTCCTAACTATGACTAATTCTAATCTACCTTGGAAACTAATTAAAGCAATTAAATATTAAATAACCTAAACATTCTAGATATTATTGTGCAAGAAGAAAACTAATTGTCTAGAGTCCTAAATTGACTAGATCTTGATCTTGCTTGTCTTGCACTCCAAACAATTCAAATCACACGCCCCAAGTACTTTCGGCCGCCTCATATGCGCGCCGCCAACCCTCGGCTTTCCTATTTCTCATCGCGCGCGGTAACCCGCGCGCATGCGTTCTCCTCGACGCGTGCGGTATCGCGCGCCGTGTGCCCCACGCATGCGCCCACCGCCATAGCTTCACCTAGTCCCGTGCGGACTAGGCCTCGCGCGCCTGTTTCCCAATCGCGTGCCAACGCGCTTGCCCAGGTTCCGTCGCCCTCCTCTCGAG